AGTTTGCCTGGATGATCTCTTAAAGCAAATATAGTAATAGAAAAATGCTGTCTCTTCATAACATGAAAAAACATCAGCTGATGTTTATCTGAGGTTAAACCTGTTAATCTCTTTGGCCTGATCTCTAAGCAGAGCTCAGCTGAGTTGCACAAGAATCACAGTACATGCATCTGATAAATAAGTATAGAATAAAGTTTAGACATTCACAACCTGGATTTTACATTTCTGTTAGCCAGAAAGTATTTTAGATTGGCTTAATATAATATATAAACTCAGTCACTATGGTTTGTGAATCATATTTGTACTTTTTGTGATGTGTGAACCTGGCAATTGTGGAAAATTGTGGTATAAAATCATAATTTAACACAACATAGGATCAAAATGGTTACCTGGTTGGACTTATTTTAATTAACATATTTAATGCTTGCAGATGCACATTCAAATTAATACAAACACCTTCTTCATAAGCAGCTGCTATTTGAATTGTACACCAGAAATCAAGCAATTTTTCCCTTTTGCAATAAAATTCAGATTAATGATTATTTTTGTTCATTGAGCACTATTTAATAAGGTTTAATGTAATAATAGATGCATTGATATGATGCATTACTCACCTAAATCACAAATGTAGCTCTCAAACAGAATTATGATTAATTTTCCCCATGGAAATGCACATCTAAACCTTTGCATTATTAACAGATATCTCCTTTACACTGTGAATATCACTCCTGTCCTGACTTGAAACTGGTAAAAACTATGATAACACTTGCCTCAGGAATGATGTCGATGGTATATTATTTACATATAATTCAGTGTAACCTGTGATAAATTTATTCTAGCATTAGATTATTTCTACACTACAGCCAATTCAACAGTGGCCACAGGATTGGAAAAGGTCAGTTTACATTCCAATTCCAAAGAAAGGCAATGCCAAAGAATGTTCAAACTATCGCACCATTGCACTCATTTCACATGCTAGTAAAGTTATGCTTAAAATCCTACAAGCTAGACTCCAGCAGTATGTGGATCGAGAACTACCAGAAGTACAGGCAGGATTTCGAAGAGGCAGAGGAACTAGAGATCAAATTGCCAACATACGCTGGATCATGGAGAAAGCTAGGGAGTTCCAGAAAAACATCTACTTCTGCTTCATTGACTATGCTAAAGCCTTTGATTGTGTGGATCACAACAAATTGTGGCAAGTTCTTAAAGAGATGGGAATACCAGACCATCTTATTTGTCTCTTGAGAAACCTATATGCGGGTCAAGAAGCAACAGTGAGAACTGGACACGGAACCACTGATTGGTTCAAAATTGGAAAAGGAGTCTGGCAAGGCTGTATACTGTCGCCCTGCCTATTTAACTTATATGCAGAGCACATCATGAGAAAGGCAGGGCTAGATGAATCAAAAGTTGGAATTAAGATTGCCGGGAGAAATATCAACAACCTAAGATATGCAGATGATACCACGCTAATGGCAGAAAGTGAAGAGGAACTAAAGAGCCTCTTGATGCGGGTGAAGAAGGAGAGTGCAAAAGTTGGCTTGAAACTCAACATTAAGAAAACCAAAATCATGACATCCGGCCCTCTTAATTCCTGGCAAATAAATGGGGAAGAAATGGAGGTAGTGACAGATTTTATTTTTCTGGGCTCCAAGATCACCTCAGATGGGGACTGCAGCCAAGAAATTAAAAGACGCTTGCTCCTGGGGAGGAAAGCTATGGCAAATCTAGACAGCATACTAAAAAGCAGAGACATCACCCTGCCAACAAAAGTGCGTATAGTCCAGGCCATGGTTTTCCCAGTTGCAATGTATGGCTGTGAAAGTTGGACCATAAGAAAGGCTGAGCGCCAAAGAATTGAGGCCTTTGAACTATGGTGCTGGAGAAGACTCTTGTGAGTCCCTTGGACTGCAAGGCGTTCAAACCGGTCAGTCCTAGAAGAGATCAACCCCGACTGCTCTTTAGAAGGCCAGATCCTGAAGTTGAAACTCAAATACTTTGGCCACCTAATGAGAAGGAAGGACTCACTGGAGAAGGGCCTAATGCTGGGAAAGATTGAGGGCAATAGAAGAAGGGGACGACAGAGAATGAGATGGCTGGATGGAGTCACTGAAGCAGTAGGTGTGAACTTAAATGGACCCCAGAAGATGGTAGAGGACAGGAAGACCTGGAGGAACATTGTCCATGGGGTCGCGATTGGTCGGACATGACTTCGCAATTAACAACATCAACAACAACACTACAGCCTTTCAGCTTGGCTCAGGCACTGCTTCTGTAGCATGTAAACTCCTTTGAAACTTTAATTAGATATCTTCATGCGGAATCTGACTCTTTCTTGTACTATAGGGGCATAATTGATGGATTTGAGTTTCTTGATTTATATAATCAAGAACTTTGACACATTATGGTTAACTGAAATATAGCTGTACGAATTGTTATATCATAATTCTGTTGTTGTTCAGCCGCTAAGTCATGTCTGACTCTTTGCAACCCCACAGACCTCAGCACACCAGGCTTCCCACTCTCCATTGTCTCCTGGAGTTTGTCCAAATTCATGTTCACTGTGTCAATGACACTATCTAACCATCCCATCCTCTGCTGTTCCCTTCTCCTTTTGCCTTCAATCTTTCCCAACATCAGGATCTTTTCCAACAAGTTCTCTCTTCTCTTTAGGTGACTAAAGTATTTTCAGGAACTGTCCTTCCAAAGAATAGTTGGGGTTGATTTCCTTTAGGATTGAGTGATTTCATCTCCTTGCAATCCAAAGGATTATCAAGATTCTTCGAAAGCATATCGTCATTCTGATAAGGGAACAATTACACAAATATCTGATACAAGGGAGAAAGTTGAAATTAATAATCTGATGGATGTTTGCTGATGCAGGTTTGAGCGAATATTTTAGAAACATCACCAACTGGGTTGGAATTGCTTAATAATGCAGCACGATATTAAGTGCTGGGTGGAAGCACAATTTCCATTCCATTAGACTGCAAAAATGCAGTTGTTCAAGGCTGGGTTTCATAATCCTTATTCACTTTTACAAAGGTTCTGTTTTTCTTCATGCCCTCATGGGCTGATTTTAGGATTCAGGATTAGAAGAAAAAAGATCAAAGAAGAATTTGCAAGCAACTGATCTGTTCCAGAGGTTTAGTTTTACAAATGCTATGTGAACTAAATTACACAGAGGGTAAAAGAGTTGTTTGCAGAATAAACTGCCAACTGAAAATCATTATTACCGAGCAAGGAAATGGCTTCCCACTTTTGTGTCTTATTATTACAGAATCCTCTACTTCTTTCCTCTTACTTCTGCCTATTTATCATCAATAAGCAGACAGAATGTCTCAATGTATTTATAAGAGGCAATGTAGACATATTTCCTAATTTCAATCAGAGCAGACCTTGAGCTATTGCCATCTATGATAGTAAGTCTAAAGTACGGGGAAGAGATTCCTTGAATTTACATTAGTGTTTTTAATAACAAAATTACCACTGAAATTTCTGTTCTCTTTATACTAATTTAACCTTTGTTTGTTTTGAATGGTAAATACTATGGATAACTTTCATGTTAAGTGTCTGATGCTAACTAGGTATAACTAATAATTCCTAGTTATTTTAATAAATATCAGTTGTAAAACTGATGTGTTTTCAAAATCAGCTGAAACCATGTAAGTTTTCATTAAAATATTTTTCCTCACTTTAAAATAAGTAGAGGAACTTGCAAAATTTTTAGGAAAGTTTGCCCATTTTCTTACCAAACAAGCAATATTTCATCATTGCCAAGACATGTTTTAATGCAATTGCTAGTTCTGACCTGAATGAATTGCAACATCAGTAGGGGAAGTATATCACATTTCACTGCAAACCCTGACCTTTATATATAAATATATAATTATTTCAGACATAGAAAGCATTCCCTGTAGGACAATATGGGGTGGGTCCTGAGTTAGTCCCCTTGAAATTAGCATCCAAGTCTCTCTTTGTCTATACTGAATCCTAGACATAATTTAAAGCACTGTAATACAACTAGAGCATTTTTATTATTTAAAGTTTAAGTATGCAGGAGTTTCAGTTTAATAAAGGGGAGTCTAAGTATTTGTTTCAAAGTTACTGGTTTTTCTTGTTTCACATATTTGTGTGGCTGAGAACATGGTCAGGAATGATCTACTCACGAATTAACTCCCCATTTGGAATATAAAACTCATGCACCCAGGCTGTACATTCTCAATGAAAATCAGCAATTATTATTTATTTATTAAATTTCTACACATCCGGACTCCCACTGACTCATGATGGCTTGCAAAGTAAAAGCACAGGGGGGGGGGGAATACAACAGTAATACAGAAACTCAACCCAGTTTGTTACAGTTAACTCTGTTAATGCAGAAAACTTGGAAAAGTAGTGCAAGATCCGAAGATGTGGAGAGACCTGGCCCATAGAATCACCAAGAGTCGGACCCGACTGAATGGATAACATTGTCATCAACACAGAAACAAAAGATGGCAAAAACCTGGCAACATCAAGAAACACACCCATATTATCCCATAGGTTTGTAAACATCCAAATTGAAGATCAGAGTGAAAATCCAGCTCTTCAAGGCCTCCAGAACACCAGTAAGGTGGAAGCCAAGTGGATCTTAACAATAGAGGAGGCATGTTTGCAAGATCTTGATAGATGGCATTGTTTAATTAAAGGAACCCGGTATGCATCCTCCCTGCCAGATCAAATTGGTTGGACAGATATTATGGGAAACAGAGGAGTTACCGAGATAGATTCCTATTATAATCTCAAGCTATGAGAAAAAGACCTGTCATTTTTATACTATTTCAGGCAGCAGGAACATCCAGTTTTTACAAACTAGCAGCTGGAATTAAACAAAGATTACCCACACACATATTAACCTTGCTGCTCCCAATATACTAACATGATATCTCTGTTGAGCAAATAGTTGCTCAACTATTAAGATACTGCAACAATGAAAATAGCTAGAGCAAATTTACCTTCTGCCATGGTGAATAAACTGCTAGTTGAGAATAATGGGTCCGTTCAGGTTAGAAATAGAATAAAAGGAACGCATGTCATGGGGGAGAATCTGACCACAGAGCATGTTTAAAAATTCAAGACTCCTGAAAATGAATGGGATTTTGTTTCCCAAGGAAATGAAGCCATGGTTCTTATGGGGAATTGAGTTTCTTATTTGGCCAGCAATCATGCTATTAATTAAAAGGGTTTATTTGCAGCCTGAACATATTTCTTTTAAAGCAATAGTGTTTTTTTAAGATAAGAAAGTCTACATTAGAATAACATTAAAAAAAGAATTTTAAAAGATTGAACTGAAAATGGTAAAGCCTGAAGGAGTGGTAGGAAGCTCCCCCCTCCAGAGAAAGAAATATTTGGGGAAATATTAAAAAGGCAGATTTTATTTCCTCAAAGGATCTTAAAGGCAGAAGAGTAGGCTCAGGTTTTCTTAATAGCCCGAGCCAGAAACTCAGCAGTCCAGGTCTGTAAAAATGCAGATTTGATAATCCCATTCAGAATGACTGAGGCCCTATTCATGAGCAAATACTACCTGCAGAAACCCATTCAAGACAGGATCTTTCAAAATCCTTTGGAGCAAGAACTGATAGCTAACAACAGCAGAATGATAGGATTAGAACCAGCAACCCCTCACCCAAAAATCCAACCGGGGACATAGCCATTAGCCACAGCCCCACCATCATTGGAATACCAAAAGGGCACACTGAATCTCAGGTCAAAGTTCATGACACAGGAACAGGAATAACCTCAAATACAAAGACCAAAGGAGGTATAAAAACCCACCACTCCCAGCTCCATGTGGTCAAGTGCTCCAGAACCACACTTCTGTCTGATTCTGCAACTCAATAAACTGGGATCTCCTAAGCAGCCTCCATCTTTATTTCCAGGGTCTTAGCCTCCATTTTTGTTTTGTCCCGGCTTGGACTGGACCCTGATGAAGATTTTTCTTTCAACAGAGTGAAGCTCCATGTGTACAGGTAGTTCTCAATTTACAATCAGTTGCTTAGAAATAATTTGAAGTCCTAACAGATCCTGAAAATACTTACAGACGGATTTGAAATTATGATCCCCCCATTCCCTACGAGCATGTGACCATCTTTTAGATACTCAGCAGCCGGCCCACTTATGACTGTTTGCAGTGCACTGTGATTATGTAAACAAAATTTACAACATTTACTTCTGGTTTCTGCCAAAAACTGCTCAATAGCGAACTATGGGTTCACCTTATGACTGCTGCATTTGTAAAATTGGTTGTAGTCACCTGATTGTTCATTTAATGACCATCATGCAGGCTCACTTGACATCATAAATTGAGGACTACCTGTACTACAAACCTCTGCTGAAGCTTTGAATCACTGTAATGTTCACATTAGTATATTGGTTTCTGCATTGACTATGGTTTTGGGTTTATGAGAAATAACATCACTACCATCATATTTATTTAGAGATGACTATTGATAAGTTGAGAACTAGTGCAAAACTTTGCTTCTCCTCAATGATTACCTGACAGGAAATATCAACCATCACAAATTTTTTCTCCATCTGCTCTTTTGTTCTAGAGAAATTAATGTTTAGAAGAGGTCATCCTATGTTTATGAACATTTTATTTCTTACTGGGTACATTTCCAGTTTAGTTTCGTTTCATTCTTGCTGAGGCCAAGCTCCTGACATACAATTTGTTAGCGGGCTACATGCAGAATTTGCGAGAATACTAAACTTCACAGAAATTGGGGAATAGTATAATGGAGAATGAAATGTGTCTTTGTTTCTCTTTTTTGTGGTGATTGGCTGGAATTTCAGATTTCAGCTGTTCACTGTTGAGTCCGTGGCGGGAAGCAGACACGAGAAGCAGTTGAAGTTCTCAGTTTTCTTTATTCTGCGTTCAGCTTACAAGTAGATGGCTTCAGCAGCTCCCAAAACCTCCCAACTTCTTATATAGACATTTCCCGGGTAAATGCGATACTTTTCCCGCGCCAGCACCCGCGCATGCGCACGGCGCTGGTGACAGCCTGTCTGGTCCCGGGCAGCTTTGCACCTGCCCGGGACTGCCTGCAAACGCCCGAGCCGTTTGCAAGGCTCGGGACATAACATTCACTGTGTTCTATTAACACCGAAGTGGTTTGAAATCCTGTGAAAACTTAAGTTTTTGAAAATGTATCTTTTCATGTATTTTCATATACTTTCCTCAACCTGATATCTTCTGGATGTATTGGACTACAATTTTGAGAATTTACTGTCATATCAACTAAAAATGGTAGGCTAGCACAAGCAATATATTGCCATGTTTAAAAAACAGGGGGACCACAAGCAATAATATCAAGTTTTCATTGCTATTTTATATTCTATAGACAGATTTTCCTGAGTGTTTTTTTCAATTATTCCTTTCTATAAAATACTAATGCTGCAGATTGCTTTATACAGCAAGACTACAAATGGATAGCTCAACAATTGGTACATCCATTTTGCTTTTGCTAATAGCCTTTTTTAAAAATCATAAGATAATTTTGATAGTCATGCACTACAAATTTAACAGGTAAGGTATCCAGAAAGCAGATTGGGAAAGATCAGTATAAATTCTTACACAGCCAACACCACACACCAAGTGGTCTTCCCAATGCATTGGTAGAGTCTAAAACTGTTACACATGATTGCATGTGCTAAGAGACCCAAGTCTGTGGCCCTACTGAGTTGATTTTTTAAAAAAATACATTTTTATTAGTTTATCAAAGTATAAAATAAAAAGAGAAATTTAAAAAATAGAAAACTGGGGGGGGGGGAGAGAAAATATGGAGTAAAGAGAGAAAAAGAAAAAGACACCAACTTCTAATTCTCTTTACCACAGTAAAAGATAACTTCAACCTCAACTTTTTACTTTTATGCAACAATATATACTAGCCATTTCTATAGCAGAGTTGACTTGAAGTGCAACATACTCAGAGCATGGGGAAACCCAGACATTTCTTTTTGCAATTTCCTAATGCTCGTTGGTCCTGCAAGCCAGGCCAAATGCATTTGTAAATGTCAACACAGCAAAGGAATTTCACAAAAGGCAGAGCTGAGAAAGGGAGTGCTGGTATTTGTGAGAAGGATAGGAGTGCCTCTGAGTCACAGAAACCGCTCCTCCTTGAAGCAAGGCTTAAGGGTAGCCTGCCTTTTCTTCAGTGGAATCCAATTTGCTTTTTCTCTCCTTAGGCTTAGAGAGCTGGGTAGAGATTGCTACTGAAGAGCTCTGACTGATTCATTTAGGGAGTCGAATGAAGAGGTAGCCTTGCCCAGTCTTCTTCACCAGATTTAGGGTTTCAAGAAGTAATTGGAAATTCACTCATTTCCTTGTAGTTGAAAGAAACTTCCGCAGCCCAATAATCTGACATATCAGGATTGTGAGTGTCAGAGAGAAAGATGTTGAATAGAAACTGCTAAAATTACTAAAAGGAATGTAGGTACTTTGCATCTTATATAAAAACTAAAGACCAAGCTTACTTAGTTTGATTGTACTAGTAAATCAGTCACTTATACTCTGAGCTAATTAGAAGAATTAAACCAGGGTAATTAAAAGAATTAAGTCTTGATAACATCATGAAGAGCTTCCTTTAGGGCAGAGGTGGAGAACTATGGCCCCTTTATGACTTGTGGAGCTTCAGTTACCAGAATTCCTGAGCCAACCATGCTGGCTCAGGAATTCTGGGAGTTGAAGTCCACAGGTCATAAAAATGCCATAGTTCCCCACCCACCCTCACTCGTCTAGGGTATATTTAGATAATGATAACAGCTGATGTCCTCTAGATGAGCTTGATTCCTGCAGCTGCCTTCTTCTAGGTTGTTTTTTGTTCTTTCAGATTCAGGATGCTTAAATAAGTTTCGTTTGTTAGATTCTTAACAAACATAATGAATATCCAAAACTCCTGTATTCAATTTAAATAGGTCTACAGGTAACTTAGAAATGAGTTTGGGAAAATCTTTTACCCATCTGCAATTCTATATACAACCTCCATCTCTATGGTTTAGCTTAAAACCTGCATCTTTATATACCTCTAGGACTGTGCTTTAAATTAATCCTGTCCATTAGTATTCTGCAAATTGTACCTAGCCTTTTATTTTTCTTTCACTAAATTTTACTTAGCATTAATCACATCCTTAGAAAAAGTTGGTTAAAGGGGAGGAGATATGAATGATAACTCTTGTGGGAAGAGAAGAGATTGCTTTTAATCTTTGCTGCTGTCTCAGTTCCTGCTCATACATGGAAAATGTGCATCAGTCCACCTGTGTCTCATCCAGCAAATAACCTGGAGCAGAATCATGATGATGGAAAAGGATTAAACTTCACTCTTCTGTTGCAATGAACAAAACCAATTTTGAAACAATCTACATTAATACAACAATTATACTCTCTATGAATGTAGTTTCCGCTTCTTTCACATTAAAAACTAGTGACAATTGAGAAGGGTATTTTTTTCAGCTACAATTTAGCACAATTGTGCCTTTTCATTAAAAATCAATAAGTATTGAGCTATTCTTCATCCTTTAAACATTATGACTTGCTCACATGGAAGGGCTAGGGTTGTTGTGAACATTAAAAAGAGGAGCAAGGACAGAGGTCTTGCAGTCCAAAGGCTGTTGACTTTCTGTCAGAGATTGCACTGTTATAATCATATGAATGATAACACTTGAAGAGACCTAGGGGGAAACGGTCATATCTCCCTTAAAGCTATACACCTACATCAGCTCCGTTGCCAGCAAATTAGAATTAAAAAAGAGAAGCTTCTGGGGGTTTACCTATCCCTGAAAAATCTTACAGTGCTCAATATTCCCTGTAATGGTGCAGGAGTGGTGACAGAAGAATGGGGCAACTCGCCATGGGCCAATTCAACAATTCAATTTAATTATTTAAAATAATTTAAAAAACAATTTTGATTTTTTTTCATTCACATTTCTTCCCCCCCCTCATTTTGCATTCTTTCTTTGATGATTTATTCCACCATTTCTTCTATATCAGTGTAACTGTTGTCCCATGGTGAGTTGGCCATGGTGAGTTGGCCTAGACCAGGGGTCCCCAAACTTGACCCTTTTATGACTTGTAGAATTCAACTCCCAGAATTCCTCAGCCAGGCATACTGGCTGAGGAATTCTGGGAGCTGAAGTCCACAAGTCATAAAAGGGTCAAGTTTGAAGACCCCTGACCTAGACAATTGGTGACAGTGTAATCAGCTCAGCTTTTGCTACAGATTTGCCTTTTCTATTCTACTTGTATTGGATAGGGTAAGATTTCACTGACTAGTTTAGGAGCTCCTAAGCAACCATTCTCCAGTTTACAGTTTTGTAGCTCAAACATTTTTAACTTCATATTTTACAGAAAGCAATAAAACAAAACAACAAACCCCATCATGTTTCTAAAAAGTGGTAAAAGAAAAAGGGGCCGAGTTCTATACTTGGATGTTTTGTTAGATACCAAGATGTCTTGGTGGTATAGGTGTGTGATCTTGGACAAACATCCCCAACTTATTATATTTCAGATGTATTGACCCTCAACCTCATATTTTACAGGTTAAAGATTATGGCATGTGGGGATTGTGGAAGTTGAAATCCTATGTAATTGTTGGATATCCATTGGGAAAAGCTGATCTGGACAAAACCTGCAGCATTTTTACATCTATGTTTTAACCTCAGAGTTTCTCAATGTTAATATAATTTTTGTGCAAAACCAGCATTTTCAATACATGCGGTCCTCAACTTACAACCGTTCATTAGTAATTGTTCAAAGTTATCACAGATTGGAAAAAGTGATTTATGACCAGTCCTCAAACTTACAACCATTGCAGCATCTGAATGGTCACCTGATCTAAATTCCAGCACTTGGCAACTGTTACGCATTTATGACAGTTGCAGCACCCTGAAGTCATGTAATCTCCATTTGTGACCTTCCCAGCTGGCTTCTAATAAAGAAAATTCACTCCACAACCATGGCAAAAAGATCATAAAATTGGGCACAACTCACTTAACAATCTTGTTGCTTAGCATCGGAATTTCTGGTGCCAATTTTGGTTGTAAGTCAGGGACTAACTGTAGAAACGATGCTGGCACATATTCTTATCATATGTTGGTATGATTTGAATGGTCCAAAGCTTCCTTTGAGAATGGAAATATAAATTCCATACTGAATCAACTGCAATTTGTATACAGATAGTAAATACCAAAAAAATGAAAGTTTATATTACGTAGCATGGAGCCTGGGAGGTCATCCTGAAATACTCTTGAATATCACTTGTAACAGAATAGGCCAGGGGTCTTCAAACTTGACCCTTTTATGACTTGTGGACTTCAACTCCTAGAATTCTTCAGCCAGCATACCTGGCTGAGGAATTCTGGGAGTTGAAGTCCACAAGTCATAAAAGGGTCAAGTTTGAAGACTCCTGGAATAGGCTAATTTAAAGGAAGCTTATGGAGACATTTGTCTATATATTGAATTATAAATCATGACTATTGCAGTAGCTTATGAAGGCATTTCGACAGTTAAGTGCCTTCAAGGCACCACCAAGAACATTACACAACATTTATTCCCTGACTTTCGGCAGTTTCTGCATTAGCTCAGAAATCAATTTCTACAAGCAAGCGGATAGTTTGTTTGAAAGGCTTGTTTGAAAGGCTCTTAGTAGCAAGCACTGGTTGCTAGGTGTGGCTTCCTGATGGGTCTATAAAAGTAGGAACCACAACTTACATTTTCCACCGACTCACTTCCCAGCTTGGAAAATATTGCTTCTGAATTTTGGAAAGGGGAAAGGTATGGCTCTTTGATATTTGTCCTTTATTAATGGTTTTAGAAGAATATAGTTTTATTTACTCTGGAGTAAATTATTTACTGACTTGGACTTATTTGTAAGTCAATGTAGAAATATATGAAATATATTTCATGTGCATATAAATTTATTTCTGATTCTCTTGCCTGTATTTTCCAGCAAGGGAGTAGAAAGTGTTTAAAACTGCATAAACTATGCACGGAATTAAAATTTGTAACAGTTGGTAGCTTAATGCTAAATAACTGCTTTTTTTCCTCTCTTCCTGTTCTTTTCCGTTACCATAGAAAGCAGAATTATTTTTATCTAGCAAAGTATGAGTTAAGAGGGAAAAAATGTGCCCAATGTCTTATGTGGAAACTTTTTTAGAAAAAACACCCTGTGGTTAAGGAAAGCTTGCTTAACTGTTTCCCAATTGTTAAATGTTTATTCCTTTGCAAACATCAGCCGCACCAAGAATAAAATATAGACTTTTTTTTTCAAAAAGGCAACTAAGTTTAATTATGTTTTAATTTGTTGGTAGTTATTTTTAATATAGGAATGTAAGAACTGCAGAATGTTATTTGCATTTTTTTTCATTTTTCATAAGTATATTCAGAAGCGGATGCTGCTGCTTCTTCCTTGTAACAATTTTTTTTCAGGAGTGGGGGTGGGGGAACAGGTTTTTCCTGTTTCTGCAGCTTTTGACCATTAAAGAAAAGTGACCTGAGAGTTAAGGAGTCCTGCACAATGACGGGAAAAAAATAATTGTCCCTTCCTTTGGAAGGAACTTGCATATCAAGCTGAATCTGAAATGCCTCTATTAATGAGATGGAACTCAGTAGGGGTTACTTCTGAGTAAATAGGTAGAAATCTTAGACATATTTTCTTAAAGTAAGTTTCAGTCTGTCGAATTATGCTCATTTTAGTCAGTTTAAGATTGGGCCTCCTATTTTAAGCAATTGTTTCAATTGTAATCCCAAAAGTGTTTCTCCAGCCAATTTCAAAAGTTTGTAATGGTCCAGAAAGCAGTTCATGAAATGTACAAGTTGGCTGGATCTTAGTGTGTGTAGTTATAATACATAAATATACTCATAGCATCAGCAGGAATGGGACTAAATCTTGTGGCTGTCACTTGACCAATCATGTGGATCAGCGGCCATACTGGGAAATCTCCATTATTTTCCTCCTGGAATTAGGACCAGAATATACTCCCTGACAGCTGGAATGTTGCAGCAGTCCTGGGAACACATCACCTTGGATTTTGGACTTTGTGTGCAGGAAAAGATCTGGGAATTCTACCAGCTGAGATTGTTTCAGAAGTAGAGGCAGTGGGCAGTTGGAAGGGCAGTGGGCAGGGTTTGACAATTGAGGTAGTAACGAGATGGGGTGTGGTGAGCTGTCTTAAGGAAAGTGATCACACGGGGTACAGAAGAAGCGATAGAAAGACACGTTAAAAGCTTCTCTTAAGTCCCTGGATATTAACACCATCTCTTGGGAACTTCTGGCTCATGATCGACCGACATGGTGCCTCTTGGTGTACCAGGGTTGCCAGACATATGAACACAGAAGGACAATCTTGGCACAAGAAAAGCGAGCACTCTGCAAAGCCAGAACTGCAAATGCTGAATCAACAGTGTCTACATTTCTGTGTTCAGTATGTGGCATAACATTCTGTGCTAACATCGGTCTTATCAGCCACCTACGGACACATCGTTGATAGCCCACAACCCACAAGATGTCAAGGTCTTCATCAAAAACCGATGGACGAACAACACCAGTAATGAGTTAGGGAGATATGGTGGCAGGCAGGCCATTCTCAGGGAAGGCCAACCTGGTAGCTAGCACTTGCATTGCCTTTCAAGCCCGTGTGCTCAGCCTTCAAAGCCAGGTCTTCACAGCCTTGGAGGCCCTGAACTCCAGCTGCCCCGGTTTAATGCCAGGTTGGCCTGCAATAAAGCTTATCTCAGCTAATTATGGATGAGAGAAGTGATCTGGCCTGCATTACCAAGATCTAGTTGGTAGTAGATGTGGGTCTTCTTTTCTGAGAAACATATCTCACAGGTTTCAAGTGTGGCACCAGCTGTGACTCTGGGGCGGGGATGCTGAGGTAGCTGTTGTTATTCTGGATTCCCTAGTGGCCTTTAGGAGAGCTGCCCTGGACATAGCCAGATGCAAGCTCTCTTTGTGAAGTTGAGTTGCAGGGAGTTGGTATTTTGCTGATCTGGCTCCAGGGACTGGGGGACATAATTTTGTACTGGTTCATCTCCTTTTTCTGTGGTCAGTACCTGTCAGTGCTATTGGGGGAAAAGAGGTCCAGCTATAGGCCCCATTATTTGGTGTGCCTCAAGACTCAAGGTTCTCTCCCCTCCTATTTAACATCCATATGAAGCTGCTGGGAGAGTAATCCACTGGCATGGGGCTTGGTATCAGCAGTATGTGGATATTCCAATTATATGTCTCCATCCCATGCCCAGCACGTGATTTTATTCAGCCACTGGTTTAGGGTCTGGAGCTATAAGGGCATGAATGGGGAGAAGCTGGCTGGAATTCAACACTGGCAAGATGGACTGGTTTAGGTTTTGGTCCCTGATATCAGGAGATTGACATTTCTGACTCTAGACATTATAACACTCCCCTGTAGAGATCTGGTGAGCTATTTGGCACTCCTTTTGGACTCGCAGCTCCTCCTGGAAGAAGAGATGGCAGTCATGGCCAGAGAATGAATGAATGAATGAATGAATGAATGAATGAATGAATAAATAAATGAAATGAATGGTACTCCCTTGGTTTTGACATTTTAGTACCCAAACTAAGTAACATCATTAGTGCTAGAGAGGCATTTGCCCAAATCTCTTCTGCACCAATTACAGCCATTCCTGGATGTAGCTACCATTCTCACAGTCACCCCTGTCTTAATCATCTATTTGGATTACTGCAATGTGCTCTAATCAGGCTGCCCTGAAGACATCAGAAATCTGCAACTGGTTCAGAATGGCGACACATACAGTTTTAGATGGCCAGTGGTTCACCCAAGTCATACCACCATTGCATGAGCTATACTGGCTTCCTGTTGCTTTCTGGGGTCAATTTAAGATCCCAGTTATTACTTTTAATGCCCTACGTGGCACAGGCCCAGGTTACTTGCAGGACTGCCTCTCCCAGCAGGTATCTGCCATTACTAGGTCAGATAGAGTAAGTGCGCTCCAAGTCTCCTCTCTCAAGTTCTCCTTGCTGGGACCTTGGAGGCATGCCTTGTTGGTGGCCACTCCAGGTCCTTGGAACAGTCTCCCACCAGAAATCAAAGTTACCCAACCCTTTTAGCCTTCCAGAGGACTGTGAAGACCTGGCTTTTCCCCCAAGCATTGGGCTAGGATTGGGGGTTGACCTGTGATCATGTTTGGTTTGGTGCCTGGGGGAAGGTATGTTTTTAACCATGGCTTATGGATTGTTGTGAGCCACCTAGAGTCACTGTATGAGATAGGTGGACATTTAAGTCTTGTAAATAAATAGATGGCAAAATGCCACCAGAAATGCAATATAATTCTGCACATCCTAAAAGAGCCATTGATCATTGTCCTAGATAGGTTGAGTGTTGGGGTAAATTTAAATATAAACAACAGCAAAATTTGCTAAAGTAAAACATTTTTCTGAAAAAATTATGAAATGGTATGTTCTTACTGTCTTAATGGAATTCTTCATGGCTGAAACCAAGAAGATCTTAAGATCCACTACAAGCATAGCTTCAATTAGCGTAGTGTTTTTTTTTAAACTCCTGGTCATTCCTCTCCTAATTCCAGTAACAGGGCAAAATAAGTCAGTAAATAATTCTATTTCCCAACCTGGTGCCCTCCAGATGTATTGGAATTTGGGTTTCTCTTTTGGAAAGTGGGAGAGGAATCCTCTTTGACTTTTCTGATTCTTAGAATGCTTAAAACAGGTGAAAGGCCTTTTCCCTACAGAATAAAAAAGCAAAAGAAAGAAAAAAGCGGGAACCAGTTTTTCACTTCATTCTGTTCCATCTTTTCCCTTTGCAGAAAGTTGAATCAAGATGGCCTTGGTATCAGAATTCCTGAAGCAAGCCAGATTTATGGATGATGAGGAACCACAATACATTGTAAGTTTCCCTAACAACTAATCGATTTGGCTTTACAAAGGAATGTTGGAAGTACAGTTAAATGAATGGGAGCTGTGATAAGATGGCATAGGGCAGGGATACAACCAAAAACAGCTTTTCCTTTCTCTTTCCAAGAATTCCCTTTACTCCTTTCTTGAATAATCAATGTGTTCAACTCCCCATATTCATTCATTCAGAATAGAGCTGGAAGGGACCTTAGAGGTCTTCTAGTCCAGCCCCTGCTCAAGCAGGAGTCCCTGTATCATTTCAGACAAGTGGCTGTCCAGTCTGTTCTTAAAAACCTCCATTAATGAAGCACTCATAACTTTTGAAGGCAAAGCTGTTCCACTGGTTAATTGTTCTCACTATTGGGAAGTTTCTCCTTAATTCCATGTTACTTCACTCCTTGATTAGTTTCCATCCATTGTTTCTTGTCCTGCCTTCTGGTGCTTTGGAAAATAAATTGATCCTCTCTTCTTTATGGCAGCCCGTTAAATACTGGAATACTGCTATCATGTCACCCCAGTTCTTCTTTTCTCTTGACTAGCCATATCTAATTTCTGCAACCATTCTTTGTATGGTTTAGTCTTCAGGCCTTCAATCATCTTAGTTGCACTTCTCCCCACTTTTTCTAAAGTTTCAACATCTTTTTTGTAAAGATGAGCCGAGGTGGCGCAGCAGTTAGAGTGCAGTACTGCAGGCCACTTTATCTGACTGTGTTCAGCAGGTCAGCGGTTCAAATCTCACCGGCTCAAGGTTGACTCAGCCTTCCATCCTTCTGGGGTAGGTAAAATGAGGACCCAGATTGTTGGGGGCAGTGTAAATATATATATACATTGCTTACTGGTGTACACCGCTTAGAGAGTGCTTGCACTTAAAGCGGTATATAAGTCTCATAAATAAATAAATAAATAAATAAATGTGGTGACCAAAACTGGATGCAGTACTCCAGGTATGGTCTTACTAAGATTATAAAGCGCTATAAAGTTATAAAACATAATCAATAGGTTTTTTTTTTTTTTTAGCTCTCTCTACCCTATTTTACAACTGATATTTTACTAGTAAGTCCTGGAATGGGCAGCCTTTCTCCGATCTTTTTATGTATGCATTTAAATTGAACCCACTTTAATTTAAATTTAGATAACATTTGTAAATAAACACATTACATATTTCTGGAGATGTAAATGGGGCCACGATGTCAAAAGTAGAAGCTTGTGGCACATACCAGGGGAAAGGCAGACTGTCTTATTTTTCTCTCCTGTGGTATGTGAATAGGTGGTGATATTCTTTTTAAATGATGTTAAGCTTATTTTTAGGACTTGCTTTACAGGTCTGATATGCTTTTCACTTCAGAACAGCAGGAAGTGGCTCTGTTGTTTTTTTAGCAATGATGAGAGAAACGTGAGCTGCCCAAAGAGATTTGGGAGGGACATTTTCCTTTCCAAAATACAGAAAAGAGTTTCAAAATACTGAGGCAGTATTTAGTTGACCTCCTAAAATAAAAACTTCTACAAATAGTCCTCAGCTTATGCTCAAAGTTTCCATTGCTGAGCAAGATGGCTGTTCAGTGAGTTTTATCTCATTTTATACACCTTTGTTGCCACAGTTGTTAAATGAATCACAACAGTGGTTAAATTAGTGACACGTTTGTCAAGTGAATCTGGCTTCCTGATTGATTTTGCTTGTCAGAAGGTCACAAAAGGTGATCACATGACCCGAAGACACTGCAACCATCATAAATACATGGCAATAGCAATAGCACATAGACTTATACATCACTTCACAGTACTTTATGGTTCTCTCTAAGCGGTTTACAGAGTCAGCATATTCCCCCAACAATCTGAGTTCTCATTTTACCTACCTTGGAAGGATGGAAGGCTGAGTCAACCTTGAGCCAGTCAGGATAGAACTGTTGCAGTCGGCAAAGTTAACCTGCAATACTGCATGCTAACCACTGCGCCACATGGCTCTTTGCCAAGTATCCAAATTCTGATCATGTGACCATGGGATGCTGCAATGGTTGTAGGTGTGAAAAACCATCATAAGTCACTTTTTTGAGTGCTGTTGTAACTTTGAATGGTCACTAAACAAATGGTTGTAAGTTGAGGATTACCTGCATATAGTTTCTAATTATTCATATTTAAAAACAGTCTGAAATAAACACTGATACTATGGAATAGCTATACTGCTAGGACCTTGCTGAAAAAGACAAATATTAAAAAAGGGAAGCTTTTGCATTTATAGAATTTGTAAGCTCATGCAAAAGCAGGTACTAGTGCCAAGATCATGCTGTTCTTCACATTGAGTAAGATATAATAGTAACCCCTATTATCGCTTTATAACTACTTATTATAACAAATGCCTCTTAGCATATTCCCTCACAAATGGTGAAAATGGTTTTCCATCATTGTTTCATCCAGGTTATTTTAACTGATGACATTGCTTTAATTTGCATCTAATAATTATTTTTGAATGTACCTTAAAGATTTGGGAAAGAAAAGATTTTTAAAGCAAGCTCAATGTTTTAATTTTTCAATTTATTTTTAATAGAAAAAATCTAAAACTGGTTCAGCAGTCCATGCTTATCCCAGCTTTGATCCTTCAGCTGATGCGGTTGCACTAAACAAAGCCATAACTGCTAAAGGTAGGAGAGAAAGATAAAATCTGTGAATGTAGATGCTGTTTTTTGCTCAGATTATTATTTCTCCTGTGTTAATGCCATTTCAGCCCATTTTTAAATGAAAGGTCCATGCAAAAATGCACACACAATTTTGTGTGCTTTTTCCTAAGCATCTCGTGGAATACTAAATCCAGATAGTTTCAGCAAAGTCAAAAATGCAGCAGAATAGGTTCAAACCATGCTGTCATTTTCTTTTCCTTGGCTTCTTCTGTTTCATTTTTGCTTGATTTGTCCTGCAGGCCATCCCATTCAGCAAGAGGCCATATTTTACAATATGGCCTCTTTACAAGAAACCATTTACCTAAATTAGGAATGTCCAAACTGGCAATTTTAAGGCTTGTGGACTTTAAGTCCCAGAATTTCCCAGCCAACCATGTTGGCTGGGGAATTCTAAGAGTTAAAAGTCCACAAATCTTAAAGTTGCCAAGATTGGACACCTGTGACCTAAATGATGATGAGATAAAGACAGGCAAGAGAAGTTTTAAGCATTAAGAGAAAATAGAGGCATGGAAGGAAGCAGTTCCTCTTAAAAGGTTGGGAAAGATATGCAGAACATGACTTTTGGAATTCTTTCCAACCTCTTAAAAATGCTCTTTGTCATGTGATCGGCAAGGAAGCGATGCGTCTATGATAGTCTCATGAATATGTATTGGGACTTTTTTCTTCAAAGCCTCTGCTAGAACCTGGCCCATGTTTAAACTTAATCTTACCTTTGGAGGCTTCTTCACCCATGCCAAATCTGGTTCCATTCTGGTTTTACAAAGTTGTTCTTCTGCTGGACAGAATCCAATATCCCTTGACGTATTTCTCTTTTCAATATTCTGTTAGAAGGAATTAAAAAAAAAAAGCAAGAAGGATTTTCAGCCAGGCTAAATATGTTGATGAAAACAACCTTGTTGATAACTCAGTTGAGCAGTAGTGTTAGCTTTTGATTTATTGGTTGTAGTATGGATTGAATTGATTATGTTTGTGTGAATGAAAAAAAAATTCTCATTCATGATTTAGGAGTTGATGAAGCAAGCATCATCAATATTTTGACCAAAAGAACCAATGCACAACGACAGCAGATCAAGAGAGCCTATCAGCAGATGCATGGCAAGGTAGCTTCCTTTGTACATACCTTGCAAGATACTTTTCACTTTTAGTATATTATGTATGATTAGATCAGTCTTTTTCCAACTTGGCACTTTTAAGAGGTGTAGATTTCAATTCCCAGAATTCAGAAGCATGCTGGCTGGGGAATTCTAGGAGTTGAAGTCCACACATCTTAAAATTGCCAAGTTCTGAGAAACAATGGCTTAGATAAATAAATAAAATATTAAATTCATTATCATGCTGATGGTTGGAACATGACTTCTAAAACTAGGCTACATAAAGCACACTAGCTTTAATATTGATGGGAGGACAGTATAGCTTCCAGTTGACCTTAATGGTTTCATTGTAGAACATAGAACACATAAAATAGAATAATAGGAAAGGACCTTGGAGGTCATCTAGTCCAACCCCCCTGCAAGCAAGACATGCTATACCGTTTCAGACCAATGGCTGTAAAGTCTCTTCTTGAAAACCTCCAGTGGTAGAGACAAAGTTTTGTCTCCAATTTTTTAAAAATAAACCTGGATCTTTCACATACATGCAGGTAAGCCCCACCTGTGAATGGATATGAACAGAATGAGCAAAGAATAGCCACTTTTCAAGAATAAATTAACAAGGACTGCAACTAATCTACCAGAACTATTTATTTTGTAAGTGCAAGAGCTTTATTTAGGAAATTATCACAAGTCTAGAGGACAAAAGACAAGGGAGTATGTACATATTAAAAAATGTAAACCAACTGCTTTTTCCTTGAGGGAGGAAGAATGAAGTTCTTATACATGGGTTGATATCGAGGATTTTCTTATGTGTTTGGAAAGTAATATTTTATTGTCTGAATAAGTTCTATAAAGAATTGTTACATGTTTGCTTTTTCTCATAGCCTCTGGAAGAAGCTTTGAAAAAAGCTCTCAAAAGCAATCTAGAAGATGTCGTCCTGGCTATGCTGAAGACTCCTGCCGAATTTGATGCTGATGAACTTAGATACTCTATGAAGGTATGTTTGTCTTTCAAGGCTTGGGTGGACATTATACTAAAGAGAGGAGAGAGAGAGAAATCTTTTCCTTAGCTTAAAGCAGGGCCATCCAACCTTAAATTTGCCAAGATTGAACACTCTTGACTTAAAGAGGCATTGGAATGAATGATATGTTTGCTGGAAGTTGTCATGTAATGGATCAAGAAGCTCAAGGAGTTCCAGGATGATTGCACTGTAAATAAGTAGCTGATATAAGGGGAAATCACATAGTTCATTACAATACAAACTGTTTTGGGCTGGATTCCCACTTGGTTCTCCAAGTTCTATTAAGTGCTAGGTGTTAAATTCCAAAAGTACGTAGTGATGTGATCAAGGACAGAAAGAATCTAGAATAAATGCAGTTAATATAATTGCTTTCTGGTACATAGAATCACTCCATTTCAACAATGTTCTTTTTTTGTAGTTCCCAACCAAACTGCCAAGCCCCTGCATATTTTTTTACCAATTTGAAGCTTCCAACTGGTCTTTAAAGGCAGTCTCATGCCGAACACGTTGCAGTAGTCTAAATGGGTGGTAAAAATACATGACAAAATAAAATATAAACCAGCTCCATGTTAATCTTTGTAGTTCAAGATTCTATGATTATGATCTATCATCCAGATAGAAATAGGTAAACTAAAATTTCCAGCAAGGGCATAAAAGCTGGAATTGTAGCTTAGTAACATTTTATAACCAAAGGTTTCCTGCTTCTGCCTGAACATTGCACTTGATGGAATAAGTTCTTTTAGAAATACAAAACAAAATGTTGCTTATGTATATCGATTTACTGCCAAACAGGGACTTGGAACAGACGAAGATATCTTAATTGAGATTCTGGCATCAAGGAACAATATGGAAATCAAAGCCATCAACAGACAATATCAAGAAGGTAAATTACTATTTTTTTTAAAAAAAAAACTTAGATCTATTTTGTTAATGCCTCTTCAGCCAACAATGTGAAGTATTTTGGTAGTCATTTGTTGATACAGATGAAGTTATGTATCTGGTTTATGGCCTACCTGAACAAAAGCACAGCTGATAATTTGCAAGGAATTTTAGAACACTAAATTCTATTAGAGTTTTTCACCAACTGAAAATAAAAATTAACAGGCTATCAATCTAATGTACAAGAAGGAAGAGAGCATCTGCAAGGTCATATTCTGTTTTTGAACATCTGATTTAATTATTGGCGTAATTATTGTTTTTTTAAATTTATGATAACCTGCAAGTTTTCCAATGAAGATAACATTGAAATTTCTTTATGGATAGCTTCCATGTACCATTTACATCTTGCATTGTGAAATCTAAGCAATCATTTAAAAATGCAAGCCCACAAAGATTGCAAAATGAGTTGAGTAAAAATGTAGAAGCTGTATGCAAGGAAGAAAATAATTTATGGTTAATGCTTGCATTTGAAACTCTGTTCTCAATATGTTTGCTCTTCTTGCAGCTTTTAAGAGAGATCTCGCCAAAGATATTGCCTCAGACACTTCTGGGGATTTTCAAAAGGCTTTACTTGCCTTAGCCAAGGTTTGTAGTACTCCATGATGTTCAGAAGTCATGTTGGTTCAGAAATGATCTGTTATTGTAGTATACAATATTGAATTAAGTGAGGCTGATTTGTTTCAGGGTGACCGGAACGAAAATCCACATGTGAATGAAGAGTTGGTAGACAATGATGCAAGGGTAAGGAGTACTTGTTGCTACCTTTGATGCTTCTTTTGTCTTGTCTGTCAAAAACAAGATTTCTCTCAGGCAAGTGAATCCATTCATGCATTCCTCCCACGTTCCCAGGAGAAAAAGAATATGGGACTTGGAGAACTTGGAGCTGCATTTCCCATCCAAATGTCCCAAAAGTGCTTTTTCCAAAAGGCAACTGGACTTTCTTGATTATTTCTGTTGAAAACATTTTGCTTTTCATCCAAGAAGCTTCTTCAGTTCAGAACTGAATAAGCTTCTTGGATGAGAGGCGAAATGTTTTCAAGGGAAAAAAACAACAATAAAATCCAGTTGCCTTTTGGAAAAAGCATCTTTAGGACAATCGTGACCTGTATGATTGAGAATCTCCACAGACATTTCCCAGCAAAAGGGGACTATTGGATGCAAGACCCACTTTAGATTTTTTACAGCTACCAAAAGGCCTGAGCAAAAGGATGTGGACCTATAGGCTTCCTATAATTAATCTGTGTTGCGGGATTTACTTCCTGTCACTGCTTTTCCCAGTTGATCAGTGGCTGATCCATTCTAGGAACCATCTTATGTTTCTCAGATGGGGTGATTCATACACACTTGTCTGTTAAAGAAGAGTATTAGAGTTGCAGGCCAAGAGAGAAAATGATAGATCCTGCTGGAAACACATCCCTTTGTAGACAAAAGAAATGAAATAATGCATGCCAAAATGTAAGAGGGTAGGACTTATGCTGAAGCCTTTAACCCTGATGTCACTCCTACTCAGCTGTGCCTTGCTGGGGTTGGTATGTGAGAAGCTTGCTCTAAACATCAGGACATTAAATTAGTGTCAATAACTATTGAATTCTTAGGAGGTACAAAGTTATAGTGCAATGGTGATAAATATATATATTATTTCATGGACAAAATAAGTCAAACATGTCTGTAATTAGGCACAAGGAGACCATATCTGGGGATCTCCACCTAATGCTTGGCATTTGCAGGAAATGGAAATCTATTGTGTCCCAACTGAAGCTCTACATAGAAATCTCACTAGAGCATAAAACACAAATTTAGTTGATTATCCGTGGCATGGGAAAAAAAAAGAGTGGGGAAAATGATGACTGTATCTTCACTTATAGTGTTAATTAGCCATCAACTGATCAAAAGTAATTCTTCTTTTTCATACTGGCAAAATGATAGCTGTTGTACCTGAACTAAGAAAGAGTTTATTTGGAGTAGACTTGACACACATCATTGAGTTTTCAGAGTTTTCAGTTTTAAAGCTAATATAGTGGTGAAGAGTGTGAGGTTTGGGGCAGAAAATTCTGGACTTCAGATTTTACTGTGGTTATAATCACAGTAAATTCTTTGGTTCTCAATCCTTTCATCTGCAGTTGGAAGTCAAATTTCCACCTTCTGAAAAGAACACTTTACAAAGTCTTTTGCTTGAATCTGATTATTATATATGTAATATCTGTAATATTTTGGAATCTCTCCTTCTGAATGGTTTCTTTCATTGTAATAGAAATTATATGAGGCTGGAGAGAAAAGAAAAGGAACAGATGTGAACATTTTCATTGAAATTCTCACTACCAGAAGTTTCATGCACCTTCGAGGAGGTAAGAAATTGCATATTGCATATTGATGAAATGCTTTTATTTTAAAGAGAAATATCTTAATAGCAATTTTTTTAAATAATACTGTATAATAATTTATTAGTGAGATTTGAAGAAGGGTTAACAAAACCTATTCTGCTGCATAATGGACAATCCCTTAAAATTAATATAGAGGTAGTCCTCAACTTATAACTATTAATTTAAGGATTGTTTTAAAGTTACAAAGGCAATGAAAAAAGTGACTTATGACTGTTCTTTACATTTGCAACCATTGCAGCATGTTCACAATTTGAATGCTTGGAATTGGCATATATTTATGACAGTTGCAGTGTAGTGTCCTGGGGTCATGTGATCATCTTTTGTAAGCTTCTATTAAGCAAAATCAATGGAGAAGCCAGATTCACTTAGCAACCATGTTGCTAACTGAACAGCTGGAGGGATTCACTTAAAAACTGGCAAGAAAGGTTGTAAAATGGGGCACAATTCACTTAACAACAGTCTTGCTTAGCAACAGAAATTTTGGGCTCAGTTGGTCTCAGTTGTGGTCGTAAGTTGAGGACCACCTGTATTTAACTTCAGAAATGGAGTATGTAGCCCTTCTTAATTAAGTTTGATTGGCACAATTTGAGATTCCAGGTGTGTATATACCTCCCAAGAACCTCTCATGTGGTCTCTGTCCCTTCTAAAAACTGCCAGCAGATTATAGCATTAAAGTAGCATATAGTGTACACTTCTTAGGGCAGTGTTTCCCAAACTTGACAATTTTAAAGCATGTGGACTTCAACTCCCAGAATTCCACAGCCAGCATTGCTGGCTGTGGAATTCTGGGAGTTGAAGTCCACATGCCTTAAAATTGTCAAGTTTGGGAAACACTATGACTTAGGGGAACAATCTATTCCATATTGTTCTTTTGGTTTCAGTTTTTAGGAGATACCGGCTTTACAGCAAACATGACATGAAGGACGTTCTGGATCTCGAACTGAAAGGAGACATTGAGAATTGTTTGACAGCAATTGGTATGTATCCCTCCTCTGTACGAAAGGTGTTTTGTTGCTAAATTTGGTTCCAAGATTATGCCTTCTGGAATGTTACTCTCCCAGAGATCAGATTGGCTCTGACCCTTTTGACTTTTAACAAGGCCCCTGAAGGCTTGTGAATGCCCTCATATCCTTGGAGATGGAGTGTCACTTGGGCCATGATATGATTTTATTGCCAGTTATTGTTGCTTTTATCTCAGCTGCTGACTGTGTATTTATTTTGCATTTTTTGTACGTGTGTTTTTTGGGCTGGATTTTTTTTTCACCCAGAGTCACTTGTTTGAGAGGAGCAACTATAAAAATAGAAACAAATTAGCTCTTAGGTTAATAAGACACCAATCCTAAACACTACCCCTGAAGCCAGGCAGGGTATAGCTCCCTTGGATCTTGCCCTGCATTGTCAATCAGTGACTTTAATAATGACATAGTATTTTATATTACATTTTATTAAATTTTTGTCATTCCATAAGTGACTTTAGGGGCATGCAAAAATATGAAAGGACAGGACCAGAAAGAGTCCTATCTTGTTATTATACCAATTATACATTCTCTTCCAGAAGAAAAGTGGTAAATCTGAGAAAGCAATGAATGTCTTATGGGTGTTTTTTAAATAAACAAACTAACAAGCAGCTTTGGGAAAGGTTCAGTTGTGTCAACAAAACAGAGGAGCACCTATCTGTTTTATCTTTTCTTTGCCAGCTGTGTTTTAACCTTTTGGATAAAACTTTATTAAGTAGATCAAGGTTATTTCTTAAAGTTAGAAAAAGTCCTTTTCTGCCCGTTCCTCTGCCCAGTTCTGCCACACTGCCTTTGTTACCTATATATAGCTGTAATGTGTAATTATTCATGAGATTGCAATCTTTGGAAGACACATTGTGTTTCTTTCTTTGCACCTTGCTTTTGTTCATTTATGGCCATAAATAATCTCCGTTCTTTCTCATTTCCAGTGAAATGTGCTGTAAGCAAGCCAGCTTTCTTTGCTGAGAAGCTCCATCTAGCAATGAAGGTAAAAGAAATGTTACTAAAAAAGTTAGAAGAAGGCTTTGTTTTAAAGGAGTATGGCAACATACATTACATTTTCAGTCTTCTGATTGTTTCTCTTGAAAAAGGCAGACAATATTGGGCACAAATTAGAAATAAAGTTTTCAGGGAATATAAATCCTTCCATTCTCCACCACTCAATCAGAAAGGAAGATGCTTCCTTGGATGAGAAGCCTAACACCTTCACTGCAGCAAGGTTACTAGTAGGTCTATATTGGAAGAAAGATTCTTTGCCTACTTTAGAAGAATGGATATTTAAAGTATCTAGTTTTGCAGAAATGGCAAAAATTTCTGCTTATTTAAAGGATCATACACAAGAAAGATATATTACTGTATGGGGAAGGTGGATAGATTATATTCAGAAAAAATATGGAATTAAAAAGTTTTATTTATTTTATGAATGAATATCAAATATTATAGAGAATTGTTTTATAAGTTATGGAGTTAAAGGTTAATTATGATATTTTTTTTTCTTTCTCTCTTTTTTTTCTTTTTTCTTAATTATTATAATTTTCTTTTTCTTTTTTTTTCTTAACCCTGTATTCTGCTCTGGGAAGTGAAGGGAGGGGGGGTGGGGGTGGGAGGGAGGGTAAGGGGGGGTTCTCTATTTTAAAACTTTATTGTATTTTTATAAATGATTGTATGTTTTAAAAAATAAAAATTTTCAAAAAAAAAAAAAAAAAAAAAGAGAAGCCTAACACCTTCAAGGGGAAAAAAACCAAAAGTCCAGTTGCCTTTTGGAAAAGCACCTTTGGAATCACACACACATGTTTGCTGTTGGGAATATGCAAGATCTCATAACCTGCCTGGCAAACAGTATCTGGGAGTGGTTCATTATGTTGCTTAAGATAGCCGAGGCCTTTCTGAAATCAGAAAAGCTCACAGAAAGGACTCTCTGACTCTATGGAGACACATTCCCCTCTAATAGAAACTCAGGTGGCATAAACAATGGAGTGTGAACTCAGATTTCTAGTACAGACAGGTGTGGCTGGAATTTCATTAATATGGGTGTAGACAGAAAGATTATGATGTCTATTTCTGAATGAATATGCAAGGACTTTTGATTCTCTGAGATGGCTCTTTGGTGTTTGGTCCTTGGTGTTCTCTGAGCTAGAAATATCTTCCAGCATGGCTCTTTTGTCTATTTCTGGGTTGACACTTGAAACTCTGGACATCTATCATAAAAGCAAGGAGAGTTTAGAACAGTGGTTCTCAACCTTTTTAATGCCGTGACCCCCAACTGGTCGTAAGTCGAGGACTACTCAACCAGTCGTAAGTCGAGGACTATTCAACTGGTGCAGCACCAGTTTGGCGGGCTCAATAGGGCAGAGACAGCCTGGACAAGAGAGTCTATTCTATTGGCTTTCAAAAGCCAATAGAATAAAAGGGAGTAGCACAGCTAAGGAAAAGGGGAAAAAAATGGCGGACTGCGTTGTTTGGCGACCCCCGTGAAATGGTCGTTCAACCCCAAATGGGGTCCCGACCCACAGGTTGAGAACCACTGGTTTAGAATATTTCTAGGTAAACCATTAAACCAAGCAGAGAGAAGCCACTTAAACTCGAGAGTTGTGAGTTTATTTCCATCCCCCCTTTTTTTTTCTACAGGGTCCTGGCACAAGCAACAGAACTCTGAACAGAATTATGGTGTCCCGGGCTGAAATTGATATGAATGAGATCAAAGGTTTTTATAAGGAAAAATATAAGGTGTCTCTCTGCCAGGCAATTTTGGTAGGTTATTTCTGCTTTTATTGATAATTAAATGGGGTTTAAGGAATTAGACTTTGTGATTAAGGAATTAGAACCAGAACTAAGTAGCTGTGTGGTTTGCAATAAGAGTCCACTATTTTTATTTCCATTGACAGAATGTTGTGACTGTATTTGGATGGGGGTAACAATGATATAATTGAGGCTATTGTAATTAAGATTCTTTATTATCCTTATTAATCTTTAGAACATTTTTTTCATCATTAATCTTTAGACCCAGTTTTTAATGCATATTTTAGTCATGTTTTAAGAACAAGTAGCCATTTCAGATTTTGTGCCCTCTGGAAATGATAAGGAAATGTAGGATAGGTGGATGCCAACTTAGAGAAGTCTGTGTTAATACACAAGAGATTTAATAATTGTATAATTCTGGATTTCCCCAGGACTTGAAAAATTGTCTGATGGAGTCAACGAGATTGACATGTGTTTGTGTGTGTGTGTGTGTGTGTGTGTGTGAGAGAGAGAGAGAGAGAGTCTCTAATTCTTCCGCACACATAAAATACTGAGTTTTTGTTTTGTGGTTGCAGCCAAACAAGTGGTGACAGGATCATGTATAATGCATGAATCTGGCTTTAGAATGCAAGTAGAGGGGAGGTGAATGGGAGGTACATGATTGCTCTACTCTGGTTTTGTTGGACATGAATTCTTTTTATTTTTTCCACATGCAGGATGAAACAAAGGGAGATTACGAAAAGATTTTGGTGGCTTTGTGTTGCGGTGATGACTAAGTTCTGTATCTTGTACATTCCAGTTACTTCCTTGAGAATAGTTGAGAATATGATCTTCCTTAACTAAATGAATCTTTGAACCAAGCTTTCTTTGAATAAGAAGAAAGTCCTTTTTTATATATATCCAAAGCCAAGGAAGAACCATTGTGTTTGCGTTTGCAGGATTAAGATATATAAAACATAGTGTTTGTATATATAAGTCTAGTTAACATTCCAAATAAAATCAAATCTCTTATCCGGTGTGATTATTTTTTCCTGTCGATGTTGATTCTGTGCCTTTAAGAAAGTTGCATATCCTTCAAATATTCCATAAATAAGCTCTGTAGAGTGACCACAGTCTCAACATAATGAGCCTTACCAATGGCCCCACACACACTTAAGACATGCATTCTGGCTGCCATACAATGGGAAGTTTCAAAGGTTCCAGGGAAGAGTACTAGTGGCATGCTGGAGATGGGATCTCTCACCCTGAAAGAGATCCTGATGATTTTCACTATAGTTGAGACACATATTTATAAACATTAATGGTCATCTACTTTAGGAGCACCTACTTGTCAGTATGCAGGGATCTTAAAGATCATCTAGCCTTCCTTGCCCATTGCAGGAATCTACTCCTACAATATTCTTATCATCCAGCCTGTATTTAAACTCTTCCACTAAAGACTCCACCATTTCCTGATGCTCTCTGCTGCATTGCTAGACATCTCTTACTGTAGTATAAGAAAAGCTGACATTTCCTTTTTCATTCAGTTGCAGTGAATGTATTTCTGGCCATAGGGAAAAAACCCTTTCTCCTAGACTATGCTTAAGAAACCTCTAATGTCTACAGTTAACATTGCACAAAGAAGAAACATGTTAGGTTTGCTTAAATTAAATGACTGGCTCAGGTAAAAACTAGAAACAGAGGCCACCTGATTTGGTACAATTATAGGTATTGTACAGGTGTAAGTCTCTCTTGAACACTATGTTCTGTAATTATGAAACAGGATGTTTAGACTTTACATCTTGATGGCATAAATAATTCTTATGTCTTTCTAGTGAAGTGCTACATTGCACTAACTTTTATCCCAGATAAGATTTTAGGGTTTCAGGCAAACTAATGATTAGCATGTCTGCTCATCAAAAACAGATTTTATAAAAATTTCACAAAGCAAAGGAGTCTTTCCAGAAGTAGGGTTCATTGTCCAAACTGAGAAGGGGATCACTGGCTTTTTGGTAAGCAGCAAGAAATCCAGCGCTCCAGCAGAAAATTGGGGAAAGCATACCTCTCTCTTGTGTAAAAGGATCATTTTAAAGACACATGATTGTGGATCTGGGATCTAAGAGGTTTCAGACACAAAATCAACTTTTATACTATCTCGAATAAGGAATACAAAAGGCAGGTTCCCCCCACCCTGCCCAACCCAACTCATGAGTGGAAAAGCACAGTATACATTTAAAAATAACTAAAGTAAAAGATTAAGCCACTTGAAGTTTCATGAGATCTGGAATGAAGAGCCACATCTTGTTCAGCTTTTGCTAAATAATAAAATGTGTTCTTAGTATTGTGAGTAACTAAACATCCATGTTCTTGCCTGTTGTGTTTCTCTTAAGTCTTTGTAACTTTTTTTCCTCTTGCCTTTTTCGCTACCTTGCCTCCATATTAAAATACTGCTGTAAATCAGGAGTACTAATCATTAGCTACAAATCTTCCAAAATAGAATTGGAAGAAGAGGGTTGAACTGTAGTCTGGTTCAGACATCATGCTTAGGCTATCATGTGTTCTTTTAGCCATGGGTAAATACAAGGGTTGGGCTCACACATTGCATTAAGCTATAAACTACAGTTTACAAACTACATTGACAGTTCACACAAGAAACTAAGGTATATTTGGCTATGGTTTATCTTGCTCTTCTCAACATCACACCCAGTTTCTTCCTCTGAAATATTCTGGGCTGACATTAAAGCTTTATTGTTTATTTCTTTTATTTAATTTTTTGGGCTGGTCAATTCCAGTGGACTCATGAATATTTTGCTTTGGATTAAGGATGATTAAAGAACTGAAATAAATGTTATCCAATTGCATGTATGTATGTAATTGAATGCAGGGTAATCTCAACTTTTAAAGCCCTAGATCAGAGGTCTTCAAACTCGGCCCTTTTATTACTTATGGACTTTAACTAACAGAATTCCTAAGTGAGGCATGCTAGCTGAGGAATTCTGGGAGTTGAAATCCACACGTCTTAAAGCTGCCAAGTTTGAAGACCCTTGCCCTAGATGGCATGAGACCAGGTTATTTGAGGGACTGCCTCTCCCCAGTTATATCAATTCATCCTACAAGATCCTGCAGGAGAGGGTACTTTGTCAACTAGGACCTTGAAGGGACAATCTTTTTTGCTGTCTCCCATCCCTGTGGAACATTATTCCTGCCAATAAACTCTGTTAGCCTTCTGGAAGGGCCTCAAAACATAGTTAGGAATCCCATGACAAAGTGGAGCCTAGTAGATGGTTATATGATAATTCTTTGGAATATTATCTCTTATATGATTTTTTGGGGGTCATTTTGCTTTTTATCTCTTTAATTTAATTGTGCTGTATTTAATAGTTTTATGCATCTGGACTGTTTTATTATGTACACTGCCCAGAATCACTTATTTGTGATGGGCACAATTTATTTATTCATTCATACAAATTGAATGAATAAATACATATGAATGCCAGTTTGCTGTAATGGTTAAGGCATCAGACTAGAAATGGGAAGACTGTGAGTTCTCGTCCCATTTTGGGCCCGAAACCAGCTTGGGCTGGTTACTTTCTCTCAGCCCTAGAAAGGCAGTAATGGCCAACCACTTCTGGAAAACCTTGCCAAGAAAACTGCAGCGACTTCTTCAGGCAGTCTCTGAGAATTAGACATGACTGAAAGGAAGAGGTATGTACGGTATGTATGTACATGTACTTATGGATATAGCTAGGTAGGCTGCTGTAAGAACCCTCATTTATTAATCATGCATATTCTCCGGGTTTAGGCTATTTGGGTTCTGTCATTCTCCTATGGGGGGAGGGGGTAACCGGGAGCTTGTAGTGCACTAGACTGTTTCCTCTATCTGCTTTGATGTATCCTTTATGGGATGTGAAAGGAAGGCCTCGGGGCCATCTGCCTTATCACGGAGTGCAGGGAGGAACCAGAGAAGACCTACAACCTTGAGAGAGATGCCTTATTGGTTGCTTTCCCACAGCTCGATGTCACCTGTGGATTGGCCTGTTTGAACCGACTGAATGGACAGTTGGGGTGGGTTTGTTTCACGGGTTTAACCTATTGATTCGGGCATGAAGTCCTCAGATCCTGCCTAGCTTTCCTGCTTTCTGTACCTGCCAATAAAAGTTCCTTTTGAAATGATGCCAGTTTCAAGGATTCTGCTTTCTTGGTAGAAAAACAGAGGCAGGTCCTTACAGTTTCCATCTTTTATCAAGGCCTGCAGGAAAGGCCTTGGTGGTTTTGCAGCAGAACCCTCTCCCACTACTGTGGATAAAATGAAACAATTATTAAGGTGACCAACCGTCCTCCTTTTGTGAGTTCTGTCCTCCCTTGAAAAGTGTCCTCCTACATGTGCTCCTTTTCGATATTTGAAGAGTAATCTGCAGGGCTTTTTTTTCTCATAGAATTCTCAGAACGGCATTCCCACACCTTTTTTGATGGGTTTTTTTTTCAACTTTTGTATGAGCTGTGCTACTCCCCCTATTGGCTTTCGAAAGCCAATAGGAATTGCTGCTGAGCGCGCCAAAACACCTGGCCGGCAAACTTTGCACATGTAAGTTGTCTGCAGCGAAGGCAAATTGGCAGGAACTTTGTACCCCTTCCTGCTACCCAACTACACCATCTCCTAGTTAGTCCCGAAGATACTTGGAGGAGACTGGAGCGGCGACGCCACGGTAATTTTCTCTTGATCTACAGCCCTGCTAGGGCAATAATGGCTGCAGGTGCAAGAAGTAGGGGCAGCAGGGCTGCTGCGGGTGGGGGTGTGAGGGGCCGGGGTGGCCGGCTGCCCCCTATGCTGTGGGAACCACGGGCCCTGCTCTGCATGGGGCTGCGCAGGGTGGGCGGTGGTGCAGGTGGGGTGTGTTGATGGCGGGCTGCCCCCCCGGGGCCGGAGCCAGTGCAGCTGGTGCTTTGGGAGCCGTGGGGCCTACTCTACACTGTGGGGCAGCAATCCTGGTGGGGTGCCTGTGGGCGGGGGCACGGCATGTAAGCATAATTACAATATAAAATGTTATTGTTACAAATGTTTTTTTATTATGCATTTATCATATTATAGTGTATTCTGTATTATTGTTGCAATGAATAAAACGTTTCTTTTATTTACGATATTTTTTTCTTCAATTTATTTGTGTCCTCCTTTGCATTGTAAAAATGTTGGTCACCTTACAATTATACCATCCATAAAAGCTTCTCCCAGAGGCCTCAAAGTAATTTTTGTCTTTTGCTTCCTTTTTTTTCCTTTCCTTTTTTCCTTTCCCTTTTTTCTTTTTTAGCTCTTGGGTCATGGTAACAGCTCTAAATTATGGCATTCCTGAATTAATTACAGCATGCTTCTGAAATTAAATACATTAAACCTTAAAAGCAACATTCTTTCCTTTTCATTGGAGGAAGACCTCAGTTGGAAAAAAATCTATGGTTAGCTAATAGGGTAGTAGCAATTTTTGCAGATTTTTGCAGCGCAGATCTGTTAGCCCCAACCACATAGCCTAGGAATCTGTTTTAAGAACAAAAAAATAATTATCAGAAAGCTGAATTCAATTTCTAATGCAATTTTCTGCATGTTTTCTTACGAGTATGATTGCAACATGCATGCAGCCCTACTTCAAGACTTTGGGGTTCACAAGAGGTCACTTCTAGAAAGTAACTCCAAATTCTAGTATATCTCATTCATTGGTATTTGCCTTTCTGGAATGTCTTCCTTTTTCTCCACACACACCTAATTTAAAGTTATTTCTTCTCCACTGAGCAAACTCAAAACATTTATTTTTCTTTCGTGCCTATGCTTGCCCATGAACAAAGAACTGGGGAAGTTTTGATTTATTAACATTGCTTGCCAAGTTGTCTTTTGTTTATTCAGGAAGGAGAATATAAACTTTCTTGCTATTGTGAAACCGATGGCAAATATTCATGAAATACAATAGATGCTTCTGCTTATGATTTATAAAACTAATGAATAATCTACTATAAATATAAGTGTCTCAGATGACAATTCCTTACAA